CGGTGGGCCCTTAATAAAGGAAGACCCTTTTCCTTATTCTTTCATGTTTTTAATGTTAACAGCAAATTTCTTTCCCTTTTACAAGTACAGTGTATGTGGTACCACTGGTGTCTCAAAGTGACTTTCTGCTCTTTATTCCTAAGCATGTGGATTTATACATTTGCCGATTTTTAAATTTCATAGTCAGAGTCAGTAATATGCTTTTTAGTTTTTACAGTACAATAAAATTGCTTGCCAGAAGTTTCTGACTTAAAATTCTACACAGCAGATTGATGTAGACCTCTTGATCCTTCTTACCGCATTTTTGCCAAGTCAGAGTATAAAATAGCTGTTCTACTAATTGCACCCAGGGATTTGCGTCCAATATCCAGATAGACTACTAAAGCTAACTCCGTTTTCCCTTTGATCTTGCGTATCCTGTTGCTTGAAAGAATACAGACAGGTGATGGAAAATGCTGGAGCTATTGCAAGTACAACTGCTCAAAGACCAATTAACACCAAAAACCCCAAAATGAACAAGAAGCCAAAATGGAACTAAACCCATAACAGCTGGTGGTCATCAAGGCAGTTTTCCCAGAGGGCAGAAGACTGTTACTAATAGGATGGAAATACAAAATTTACTGAGACCAACTGTAACTGCTGATACCGTATATTGAGAAGTGCCTCATTTCTCACATTTTCTGCAGAGCAAGAGTGAAGCTAGACAGTAATCTTTAACTTTTAGGAGGGGGCGGGGGGGGGGGCGCACAGGGAGGGAAGTGGGAACTGAAACATAGTCCCACTGAACAATTAGTACCAGGAGCTGATTTTGCCATAATGCTATTTTCATCACATTTAAAAATAACAGCCAAGTGATTCTACCCATAGAAATATGTTCTCAGAGTTTAATCAATGTAGCATGGTTCATTAGGAACTGCTCACTGAGATTCTCTTACGTTTTAAATTATTTCAGTTACTGCAGAACCTGGATGCTAGAACCCCCAACAGGAGAGTAAATGAAGTTGTATGTTCTCCCTTTACAAGAGCAGAGGTTTTGAGATGTTTCAATCACATTACATAAACGTACATTCCTATACTAACACAAAACATAAACTCTTGCCACAGGAGACAAATACTTCTTATGCTGTTTCCAGACAATGATCGTAACTTCAAATCCAGAGTAAACATAACCTCTTCAGAGTTGAGAACACGTCTGTGTGCAAGGAGAACGGCCCGCTGCATTACAGTGATAACAACACCTACTAAAATCATGGCACATATTGAACAGACATATGCACAAAGGTCGTTATGTTCTTTGACACAGTACTGAAAGAATGGTCAGTATCAAAAGTTTGGAAAGACTGAAAAGTCAGGATTTTTTCCCCCACTACCACCAAATAATATATACTGAGAGGCAGAAAAGCTATTTTTAATCAGTGATGATTCATTTGCAGCTCATTCACAAAGGTCGAGGGACTCCCAAGACTCAAGAAGAACTGTTCAAAAGCATAGGTTATCATGCATTTATTTATTATCTGATTTATAATACAGATGAAGCAACAGTGCTAAATAGAACAGTGTATCATTCTGCCTGTGCATTTGTTTTAAATGTGGTTCCTTCAGTGCCTTGGTGATGGTCTTCCAGAAGATGGCTGAGGCTGCCTGAATTTTGAGAGAACTGCAACAGAATCAACAAAGGTATAAATGTTATATTCATGATGCTGAAGGTTCTTGTAGGTAGAATTATCAAATTCTTCTGGAGCAGGCTCAGTGGCTTTTGTGGTCTCTGTGAAAACAAACAGTAAATGGTTACTATAAGGATGCCACACCAGAGGGCAATATTCTTAATTACCAAGACAACCTTCATATACTGTCAAATCCCTCATCCAGTCCACATAAAAAAAAAAAAAAAAAGTCAGCAACTATAACAAAAGGGTAAGTTTACTAAGTTCTGCTGGTACCTTGTCTGGTCCTAAAGCAGCACGTTAGCATGCCGCAGGGCAACAGGAATCAGTACAAGTCATCTAATACAGCACAGGTTTTCAAATCCAAACTACCACTTAATGCTGGGGGAGGATAGGGAAGAACATATCATTTATATTTTGAAGACATATGTCTGCATTTCCTGACTTCTTCATAGTTGCTTTGGTTTTCACTCCAGACAGAACAGTAGGTGACATTCTTCATGAGCCAGAAGAGGCAAAGAAGCAGTACAAATGATATATCATCATGTCAGACCACAAGATACAGCTATTAGAACTACTTTACAGATTGAATTTTTATCATGGGGACAAGCGATGGAATTGTTGAGATCTCCATAGAAATATTCCAAATATGGTTACACTGAACAGTAATATATCGAGAGCCTTTGATGTAAGTTTCCTTTCTTCTGAATGTAATCTTCTAAACTTTGTACCAGCTCGTCTTCCTAAACGAATAACCTAATAAAGTTATTCATAACTTACTTCATGTTAAAGCCAACATTAACTCTTAGACTTTCAGAATATTATGCAAATTTAGGCAGTACCATTTACACAAAATGTTCCTGTTACGGGCTGATTTTACAACCAAGGAAACTGCAAGAAATAAAATATTACTCCCAATACTAATTTATTGCCATATACCCAGAATTCTAACAATAGGGAAGACATAAGCATAACCTAGTGAAAAGCTTCGTCACATAAATTTGTATGTAATGGTTTAGGTTAGATTGTATTAAGCTTCTTTTGGTAATACAACTATCTACAATAAAAATACAAGAACTCAAGCAACTGAATACCAGAATTTCCCTTTAATTATGACATAATTATTGCGATGTAACGCCATCAGTTTAAGAGCATAACATTTAGCAAGACTTGCTTATAAAACGCAATGTAGTAAGCCACAACAACACACACAACCTATGAAAGGAAATATCCCTGTGCCTACTGCTCAGTTCCTACTGAGACAGCTCATAGGAGACAACACTACGGATATAAAAGCCAGATGATGTGGGCTTTGCTGCAAATAGCCCCAAGAACAGGCAAGCGTGGGCAAGTGTACCTTCAACCTGCAAGAGACGGTTGTTCCAAATTAAGAGACAGATGCTCAGGAAGAAAAGCAGATGGAGTCTCATGTTTCCTGCCCAAACACACTGTACTTGGCTTTTCGAAGGAAAAATTTATGCCCGAGTTCCTCCTCCCCATACTTCAGACTTCATCTATGCCTTCCCTCTTAAAGAGCAAGCATTTCACAGGATGTTCTTCCAAAATGAATCAGAGGTGTATTTCTGAGTTAACATGCTACTATTTCGCTACTTACTTAGCAGTTAAAGTGAGCAGTTTTTGCTGGCTCCTTAGCATGCCTGCTCTACAATGTGGACGACATCACCTTAACATCCAAGTTTGTAATGGGAAAAATTGCTTTTACCTCTTCAGTGTGCCTGCTGCAAAGCATGCAGATGAACAAAAGAACACAGACACAGGAGTACAGATTACAGAAGGTATTATCATTAACTGTGAACATTAAAACATGGAAAAGCAGCAGCTGCTCTCAAAGAAGGCCTCAAAAGGAAGAGAGAGTAAGATACGCCTGGAGATACCACAGAATCACAGAATTTCCTAGATTAGAAAAGACACCAGTGACACTGTTGAACACGGTGTAGCTAGGTTTGACTCTGCTACCCCTGGCACCCAAAGACATTACACCAGCAGTAAAAGGGTGCAAACTCTCCTGTACTAACCCCCACCTCTCCCACAGACACTGCAGCAGAGTCCTCCAGTGGGTGCGCAGCACGTGCCCAACAGAAACATTCCTGCTTTTTCCTGCTGTCACAGCATTTCCTCTTCCAGCTTTACAATTACGCTGCTTTTACTTCCAAGTCACTATAAAAACAGGGTTAAAAGGTCAACTGTGTGCTACTTCAAAACACAACTTGCTTACAACCTGCCAATCTCAGAATCGATACCTTTTTCTGGCATTACACTATGATTTCTTGAAGTCTACTGAAATCTGAAACACTGCAAGATTTTTTTTTAAAAAAAAAAAAAAAAAGAGAAAGACAGCAGGATTTAGACAAAAATCAGATGGCATCAAATCTGGCTCAGGAGAAAGGCAGCTACCAAAATCTTCCAAGAAAAGAGAAGAGGGAAAACAAGCTTTGTCATATAAAACCCATGATTTTGCTCAGCGTGGAAACGATTTTGCTCAGAGTGGAAACGATCTTGTTTTCATTTTATAAGTGACTGGTTTATGAAACTATAAATACAGTGAAATGAAGACCGCTTCTTTTCACAGCATAACTGGAAACTGAGTATTACTGAGCGCTTGTAACAATTAGCAATGAACAAGAATTTATCTTCTGGAAAGGCACTGCTACATGGTTAGCTTCAGTATAAAGATCAGAGAATCATGAACAGAGAATATTTGGAAAGCCTTTAAAAAAGTGAAACCCTAGCCCAGATGAATCAATACAGTTCAAAAAATTTAAAGTTGTACCCTCTATTGTGCTTCTTTCTCCAGCCTTGACTCCTGCTTCCTGAATGGTCTCCTCCTTTGCTGTAGTGCCCATCACCAGTGCTGTGCTTTCAGAAGTTTCTCCTAGTTTAGGAGCAGTTACTTCTTCTGCTTCTGACTCCTGTACTTCCTTCGTCTTTTTTTCTTCTCCTCTGGATACCAGTTTTTGCTTTTTGCCTTCCTGAGTCACTGATGAAGCTTTCAGCTGAATAGCTGCTACTTGGGTTCCGATGGACTTTTCCTCCAAATAATCAGATTTATGAGCGACGTCAGTCAGGTGTTGGCTTTCAACCAGGTACGGTTCTAAAATCAGCTTCTGCCGACCTGCTTCTTTTGGAGTTGATTTTACTTTGGGGTCTCTTGCTTTGGATTTTGATGTTTCATGGCTGACTGATGTTTTAGAAAATGTGACCTGCTTGACAGGAGACACATCAGTTGCTGTTTTGCACGACTTCTTCTTAGCTACATATTCTTTGTGGGATTTCTGGGACAAGTTCTCTTTTGCCAGCATTGATGCCTTTACCGCTATGTTCTCAGAAGAGATGGAATCTCGTTTAGGAAACTCAACTTTTGTTTTGATGGCAACTTCTGAATCATCATCGTCATTTTCTTCCTCAGAATCTGAGCTAGAATCTGAATCTGAGCTGGATGAAGACGAAGCTTCCTCCTCAACTAACTCTTTCCTCAAGCCTCTTTCTGTTGCAGGTGTAGTTGGGTTTTCCTCCTCAAGAGGAGGACCAACTACTCGCTGAGGAAATCCAACCACGGTTTTTCTTGACATGAACATCCTTATGTCTTCAGAAGGTTTTGAAGCTTCCTCGAGTTTAGTACTAGATATGCTCTCACCTTTGTTTGCAGATACTAGGAGAGAGCTAGAAGACAACATTTTAGGAAATTCAACTGGTGCCTTGATGGCTAGCAGCTTGGTGCTTCCCTGTGGTGCCACTACATCTAGGAAACGGCATAAAGAGGATTATCATCATTATATCCAACACTGCTGTTAATTAGTGAACTTAGTCACACAATTTTAACTTTCTGAGATAATCTGGTACAAAAAGCAAATGGAAAGAAGTTATTATACTAAATACAGGCGTTATGAAGCAGAAAGTTTTAAGACATTTTAAGTTACAGAAACTAGAGTTCTAATTAGCACATAACAGCTTTTGCTGCTGCAATGCTGAAACTCATGAGAGAATGCATTTTGCTCCTCGCTTTGCCAGCCTCCTCGTAAGAGCTCTTTTTCTCCATGCTTCAATTCTGCATCACTGAAAAAGGCTTACAGACACCTTCCTATCTCAGATGAACACTAAGCTGGCTTGGTAGCTGAGCTCTTCAAATATGCTGCTACAGAGATAATATTTGTCTATGAACAAGCCAGCAAAACAGAAGACACGGTGAACAGACATAGCAATAGCCAGCCTCTTGAAATAGTTATCTTTAAAGCAGTAGGGCGGGATGACTCCACAACACAAAGCAGCGGAATAAGAGACACCTGAGGCCATACATGAAAGTATTATTTGTTCAAGTGTCCATGTGACCTACCAACTGAATGGTGTCTCATACAGTTTAATATAACTTCCCCAAGACCTTATCTCCTCCAGTCTTCACTACCTCCACTTCCTATTTTTAGTTTGAGACATCTGTTTAAAAATGCCCTGGAAGAACTCCTAATGCTTCATGTTTGCCTGCCTTTATTTCTTCTTCCTCATGGATACTTTCATTGAGCTAAATTCTCCAGACAAGGAGCCAACAGTTGAAGAGAAAGCAGCAACTTTCAGGCCCTTTCAGAGAATACCAAATAGCCCTTGGATGCTTGTGCCAATGATATCCTCAAGAGGCTGATCAACAGCTAATACTGTTGTGGATACAGAAAACAGGAGGACAAAGACGAGTGGGATCACATTAAGAAGATACACCACTGCTGAAATTGGCTACAGCAAACCCAAGTCCATTATGAGTCGCACCCCTTTCAACCGGCAGTGTAAATCAACAGATTTCCAGTCTATTGTGCAGATTTATCTGCACTGTTTGGAAACCCAGTCAACTTTACAAGACCATAAACTAGATGCAGTTTTCCCCCTTACTAGTATTTTACAGTAAGGAGTTACTATAACTAGTTCTGAATAGAAGCAAGTTTTTAGCAATGTCCAAATGAAAACATCACAGAAGAGACAGACACATGAAATTAAAAGCAAAGTATTTAAGAAAGAAATACAGAGCTCTTAACGTAAGTACAAATGAAAAAAATATCAGTTTACTATACAGGTAATACTTTTGAGTCATTTCAGACACATTCTTCTCTCTGCTAGACGGAAAATGCAGGGCAGGGAGGGAGGGCAGGGCGAAGTAGGAGGATGGGCAGCCACCTTTGAAAGAAGCCTGACTCCCTGCACAGACTGACACAGCCAAACAGCAGTCTGTAGAAACTAATACGTGAGGGAGCACCACGCAAGGTTTAAGAGTTCTTCGAAGAAGCATACAGGAAGGTCAAACTAACACAAGAACGCTCAAAGGGATGACAGACAAGTGAAAGTTGAGCAAAGGCTGAAGAAACATTAATGTTAAAGACATTTTAAGAAACCAAGAGGGCAGGTAACATTCAACTTGACCATTAACAGTAAGTGTTACTGGAATTATACTTTAAGCAGTAACATTTGGATATGTGAAAAAGATACATGCTTCAGCTTTTAGCCATAGTCTAATGCAACTGGTACAGGCACTTTAATTGGGGTACTACAAACTTTGTACCACCTGATCTGTATTTGCATTGCTTTGCCAAAAGAACAATGCATCCAAATCAGTAACAAGAATATTATTCCCAGATGCATTCTTACTGATGCTGGTTAACATCAGTATCATTATTGGAATGTGTTTAAAACACGTTTGCACTCAGAAAGCTGGCACGTAGAAATTACAGATCTATTCCCCATTATTGACTTGTAAGTAAAGATGACCATTTTATCAAAGCAAAGAAAATTTGCACACCCTGTTCCAGCTAGAATCTGAAAAAGACAGTTGCATTCTATACACCTGAACTAACCTTAACCATTGGCAGGGGAAGCAGCTGGCTGTAAGAGGTGGCTAAGAGGTCTCCCGGCACCTTCTGAAATTGGACCTGCAGGACAATGAATCTAGAAACTGATCTAACGTACATCTCAAATATGCTTAGAATAATGCAAAAAAATTATAATAAAAAACGAGTAGTTGTTCAATCAAGCTTACATCAATCTATGCAGCAAAGGCCTTCTTAATGGAACAACCAAGCTTTTATTTGCCTTGGCATTTAAGAAGCTAACATTAGAAGCCAGAAGTCTGCATTCAACTATTCTTTCAGTGATCTTTTCAACAGCTGTCAACAAGTCTGATCACTCCTACATGTGGTCCCATGGAGCTTTGGTATTTAAGCATCTGGATCTCTAATTTGGGATAGGAACCCCACTCACTGAATCAGTGAGCCTCTATTTACAGCATTTTTGCACGACATGTCCCTCTTTGAAATTCGTATTCATGTTTTGACTTTAGTCAGGGACAGCAGGGGTTCAAATACTTCTGAATGTCAAATACACTGCAGCATCGAAACAAGTGCAGGTACTGCCTTGCTTGCAAACCTATGGGGTGAGAAGCATTATAACTAAATTGAACACAACTGGTCCATGGTAGTTTTCTGCAGCTTCTCAGCACTGTTGCCTGGAGCAGATATTCGGAACTTGCAAGTCTCTCTCCCTTACTCTAAAATGGAATGCTTTTTGACCCTTATAATCCAAACATTTCAAAAGACAAGGGGGAACATCTTAAGTTCAAAACCAGATTTTGCACCTCATTAAAAAAAGTTACTTGCTATACTCATTTCTGTCAAATTTCAGGCAACTTGTGAAGCTTCCTTATATTAAGACAAAAGCAATGATAGGTCTCCTTAAGTCTGGCCAAGCATCACAGCAGCTAACACATCAAGGTGAAGGTAAACAGGACAGAAGTGTCAAGCTCATAGCTATTTATTTATATAAATATATCCCATGCAGACCCATTCCTACCAGACCTTTAATTTTAGTTTTCTTACTATGCAGTACATTTGAACAGAAATCCCTGTTTACATAGTGATGACCTTTCACTTTCTTGGCATACGTAGCAGCTGTTCAGAAATTTGGCCATATGCATTTCTAAGCTATTCTTGCCAAGTGCAAGGTCCTGCACCTGGGTCAAGGCAATCCCAAGCACAACTACAGGCTGGACAGAGAATGGATTGAGAGCAGCCCTGAGGAGGACTTTGGGGTCTTGGTGGAGGAGAAGCTCAACATGACCCAGCAATGTGTGCCAGCAGCCCAGAAAGCCAACCATACCCAGGGCTGCAGCAAAAGAACTGTGGCCAGCAGGTCAAGGGAGGTGATTCTCCACCTCTACTCTGGTGAGACCCCACCTGGAGTACTTCATCTGGCTGTGGGGCCCCCAACAAAAGAAGGACATGGACCTGTTGCAGAGGGTCCAAAGGAAGGTCATGAAGATAATCAGAGGGCTGGAGCACCTCTGCTGTGAAGCCAGGCTGAGAGTTTGGGTTGTTCAGCCTGGAGAAGAAAAGGCTCTGGGGAGACCTTATAGCGGCCTTCCAGTACCTCAATGGGGCCTACGGGAAAGATGGGGAGGGACTCTTTAGCAGGGAATGCAGTGGTAGAACGAGGGGTAATGGTTTTAAACTGAAAGAGGGTAGATTTAGATTCAATATTAGGAAGAAATTCTTCACTGTGAGGGTGGTGAGACACTGGAACAGGTTGCCCAGAGAAGCTGTAGATGCCCCATCCCTGGAGGTGTTCAAGGCCAGGCTGGACGTGGCCTTGGGCAACCTGGTCTAGTGGGAGGTGTCTCTGCCCATGGCAGGGAGGGTGGAACTAGATGATCTTTAAGCTCTCTTCCAACTCTAACCGTTCTATGATTTAATGACAACCAAAGGGACCTGAACTTTAGACAGACACTCCCCGGTCTGACGGGCAGATAAACTTTTATAGCAGCAGCACCACAGGGTGCAAAAACCTCCCGAGGCTGCAGGGCAAGGCGGTTATCTCCTTTGCTGTCTGAGCACCAGCAGAGGAGGTTCTCCTGCCCGAACACCCGTCTGCATCTATTTATAACCCCCCCTCCCTCAGA